AGTCTCATGTTATTCAACGGAGCTTACTCCTAGGAAGATTGCCCTTAGTTAGGCTTGTAGTCATATTCAGACAAAGTCAAAGGTTTATGTCTAAATTATTATATAATACCTGTAAAAAGTTAAGGGCAATATAGCTTACCCTTCCCTTCAATTGTTTAAATATTAAGCAAAAATACCTGGAGGCACTGAAAAGTGTTGGGACAATAATTTTAGCACAGCCAGAAAACTGTCCATGATATTCTGTGGGCGTCCACTTGTGGGGAAATGGGACTTGCAAGCCAGTATTTCTGCCCACGTAGGAGCAAAAAAACCTACCCCACAATCTTGCATCTCCTGCCCAGTGGGGTTTCTCTTTGTCTCCACTTGTTTTGGTTACTCTGGTTCTCTCTCAGTGCCACCATCAAGCCAGTTATTAGGGCAAATTCCACCTGAGAGTGTGAGCCCAGGTACCTGGGTGTAGTGGTTAAGAGCAGCGGACTCTAATCTGGAGACCTGGGTTTGATTCCCCACTCCTTCACATGCAGCCAGCTGGGGGACCTTGGGCCAGTCACTGTTCTCTCAAGAGCAATTCTCTCAGAGCTCTCTCAGGCCCACCTACCTCACAGGGTATCTGTTGTGGGGAGAGGAAGGAAAGGAGATTGTAAACCGCTCTGAGACTCCGTCTGAAGGGTGAGGTATAAATCCATTTTCCTCTTCTTCTTCTCTGCTGCTTGCTGCTTTAAGCAGTAGTTCAGCCTTTGTTATCTCCATCGCCTTTTGCATCCACTAGTAAGGGGACTCTGCAAGGGCTCAACAAATTCCAAGTATCAGGTGGTTTTGGCGCCTAAAAACGTCCTTGTGGTACCTAATATTTTCAGAAGGGATTTTATTATGAGGTTCTTATTATGATGACAGCCCGGGTTATCCCCATATTTCTTTCTGCACTTACAACACTTTTGTCATATTACAGCTTGAAAAAAATAATGAGAAACTGTGAGGTGATGAGTAATAGGTTTTGTACTACCAGTAATTAGAAAATATGGTCATCAGTTTGGCGCCTATAAAGAAAATTTGTCAAGGCCTGGGGAGGAAATGCCCTTATTTGTGGGCTCCAGGGTAGTAGAGAACCACTGTTGCCCCCTCCCCTTTCTACTTGTGGAATGCATGACTGAATAGGGGCTTTAACATGTTATCAAACAGACCAGACAAACCACGTTCAAAATGTTATGAAATCTAATAAGAAAATAGTGCACACATCTTAGGTAAGCATGAAAGACAATAGAAAAAGGCGATAAAACCACAGCCCCCTGATGATGAAAATGTAGGATAGGCAATTCTTGGGGTTGCAAGCATTTAGAAATCATTCATTACTGTTGTTCTAGTAGTTTGAGGATTTCCCCTCTGCGGTATCATCGGGTCCAGGTTGACATGGAGACTGAGCTTAAGAGTTCATCCCTCATGGGGGGGGGGAGCACCTTCTTCCTCATGTCCCGGCATTCTTATAATTGTCCCTTTTTCCTGTCCCCAAAAGATAGTTCATTCTTTCCTTTTGGCCTCCCAAGTTCTGTAGCTAAGGTGTGACCTGGCTATTGTCCTCCTCGTGGCTAGGGCCATTTGCATTTCTCTGGCACTGGATAACTTCAGGCTTGGGAGGTCATAACTACTGTTTCTCATTCCCTCCTGCCATCTAGCAAAAGGCACTTTGTAACCTCTGAGCCTGTACAGAGTGGTAACCTAGTTATAATAGATCTTGGTAAAGTTTTTGGGGTGTGGAAATTGTTGGGTGCAAGGCATTTCACTACACCACTCTTCAACAGAATTTAACTCTCTTCCATGAAAGTCACCGGGGCCTGTCAGTTTCACTGTCACTTTTTATAACCACATGCATTTCTACTGCTTTCCATATTCATTTGGAGATTACAATATTACTTCCACCATGTGAGAGGAGACACTTGTCACTGTGCAGGTGAAATCAAAACCAACTGGATGAAATCATAAGTTGATTTTTTTAAACATTTGGATTATCATATGTATTTATGGTTTTATTCTTTCACCCTGTGTTTATAAATCAATAAAATGTACATTTAGTCTGTCACCTAATTCCTATGGGTAACCTGGAAGATATTAATTGCAATTTTGAAACTGCCAAGTTTGCCTAGTAGTGTACTGGCAATGGCATCCATGAAATTAATTGTTGTTAGTTTTTTGAGATAATGAATCTTCCATTGGAGAAAAAAGCACTTGAAAAATTTCTGACCTACAGCTTTGGTCAAGATGCAAGTGGGTAGCTGTGTTGGTCTGAAGCAGCAGAACAAAGTTTGAGTCCAGTGGCACCTTTAAGACCAAAAAAGTTTTATTCACGGTATGAGCTTTCATGTGTACACACACATCTTCAGACACAATGAAGTGGAATTTACCAGTCCATAAATATATTGTATGCTAATTTGCTGTCCAACATCTGCCTTATACATATGGACTGCTAAGTTCCATTTCATTGTGTTTGAGGAAGTGTGCATGGTCACGGAAGCTCATGCAGGACTCAAACTTAGCTCTGGTCAAGGATAAACTAGATCTTTCTGAAAGGATGTGAGAATATTGCCAAGTATCTTGCATAGTGATTCAAGCTGCGTTGAACATTTGAAGCTGCTTTGTACCAAGTAGTTCACCTCACTGAGGTCTCCTGGCAGAGAGCTTTCCCAGCACTGCTATCAGAGACCTTTTAATTGGAGCTTCCAGGGATTGAACCCAGTGTTCAACCACTGAGCCCTATAAATATGAGAATACCTAGAACGGAAAATATTTGTTGCAGATTGATGGAAGTGTATGCCTGGAGAGGTGGTATACAGATTTTATTTAAAAATAAATTAATGCTTGTGTCATGATCTGTGCAGCACTGGGAGCAAGGCCTAGTGCGGCCTGGTCCCAGGAGAGACCAGCATGGGAGTAGAAAGCAGATAGTCTACAGTCCTTATAATGCTTAAGAGAGGGTGTTAGCCAGGGGTCTTTTGGGGCCGGAGCGTACCGGAGCGCCGCTCCAGGAGCTCAGGAGCTGGCAAAATGGCAGTGCCGGCAGCAAGCCCCGCCCCAGCTTTCCCCACTACGGCCTGTCGCCGGCCTTCCAGGGCCCGTGCTGGAGCGTTGCGGCCCCAGGGAGGCCCGTCGCTGCCTCCCCAGGCCAGCGCCAGAGTGCTGCAGCCTGGAGGAGGCAAGACGAGTTCCCCCGCCGCCTCCTCCAGCCAGCGCCGGAGCACTGAAGCCCGGGGGAGACCAAAAGAGCCCCCCCACCGCCTCCTCCGGCCAGTGCCAGAGCGCTGAGGCACGGAGGAGGCCAGGAGAGCCCCCGGCGCCTCCTCCGGCCAACGCCAGAGCGCTGAGGTGCGGAGGAAGCCAGAAGAGGCCCTCCGCCTTCTTCTGCCGCCTCCTCTGGCCAGCGCCGGAGCGCTGAAGCCCGGAGGAGACCAGAAGAGCCCCCCTGCCGCCATCTCCAGCTAGCACCGGATCACTGAGGCACGGAGGAGGACAAAAGAGCCCCCCCGCCACCGCCTCCAGCCAGCGCCAGAGCGCTGCGTTCTGGAGGAGGCCAGAAGAGGCCCCCCTGCCGCCTACTAGGGTAAGTGAGGGATCTGCAGGGGGTGGCGGAGGCTTGAGTGGGGGGGTGGGAGACCCTCCCCCTATCTCTTTGCCCTCTTTCTTTCCCTCCTTTCCCTTTCCTTTTCTTTCCCTCCTTTTCTTTCTCTCTTTCCCCTCTTCCTTCCTTCCTTCCTCTTTTCCTCCTTTCTTTCTCTCTTCCCCTTCTCTTCCTTCCTTCCTCTTTTCCTCCTTTCCTTCTCTCTTTCTTTCTTTCCTGCCTTCTTCTCTTCTCTTTTTTCCTCCTTTCCCTCTTTCCTTCCTTCTTCGCT